TAAGCCGAGTCGCGGTGTCTCTCATTCATAACCGGAAATGGAATAATTATCTTCCGGTATCAGTAACAGGTTTCTTCTTCCCCTTCTGTCTCCACTTCCGGCCGCGGTGCCTGTTTTATGTACGACCTGTGCGCGAGCGGTACAGTATTAGACACGATTTAATCGACATCGTCTTGCAGACACTAAAATATTAGGTCGCTTAGCGGCGGTGGCGATGGTGGAGATTTACTGGACAGCAATAAACTTTATACGGCTCTCTCGACGTTTTCGCTAAAGCGCTTACCACCCGCTGCGCGTTGATCCCTTTAGACCGGCCGTACGTCTTTCACAGAGACAGGCCTGGATTGCGCGCATCTGTCTATCTCTCTTTCTCTCTCTCTCTCTCTCTCTCTCTCTCTCTCTCTCTAGTGAGTGAGTGAGTGAGTGAGTGAGTGAGTGAGTGAGTGAGTGAGTGAGTGAGTGAGTGAGTGAGCGACCCATACCACGTTGAACTACAAATCCACATCGTGTTTTAAGGCATTTAAAAAATAATTGTATATACGTTAACGATTTAATCCCCTTCCATCGCTCTCCCTAGACCACCTGCGTGTGAGTGATGGGGGTTGTCTAATGTTTCGGCTTTAATCTAATAGCAATTAATCAGTGGAAAACACGTGATAAATTATAGATACAAGCATGTAATGATAATAAATTATAGAAACCAATCTGTCCTAGTGTAAGTGCGAGTGCTTGTTCGTGTTTAACTTTTGAACTTCATAAATATTTGATCGAACATTAAATTTCCACACACCTTATAGAAACCTTGACATTGCCATGCTAGCGAAACTCATAACACCTACGATTCTATATGGTAGAAGCCAAAATGAGTTGTTTATGGCGAAGACCAGATTGTATTACTTGTAGATTGTAGATTGTATCCAATTTCGTTACTAATTCACAATGTTATTGCGATTAAATTTTACATTGGATGTAATTGCCTTTATTGTGGTATATCGCGCTAGCGAAATGTCCTACCGGTTTCAAAATTACGTCATGTTAACCTACCGCTTCCGTTCAATATCTATCGGAAAGTGTATAGTAGCTTTATCAACGCAATTTGCGTGTCGTTGTCATCGGTAACTGCATGTAAATCGCACGCGTAATCACACTACGCAGTCTTACATACAGGCGATAGGTTCTTATTGATTGATAATTTCAATCGATGTTCTTGTTAACGATATGAATCATTATGCGCATGCGTCACACATCCGGGTGCCAACAACATTTTGTCACTGGGCCATCAATTCAATTCATTTCATTTTAATTCAAATTAAATTCACATCAATTTAGTTTATTTACACGTATGAATTACATTTTGGAGGTAACATATTAGTTACACAAATTAATAGACACTGCTAATTAAAACAAATGAAATTAAATAAATAGAAGTGATGGAGGTCACTGGGTTCTCTCTTGGCGTTGTACCGCAGCTATTATAATAGCATATATATACACACACACACACACACACACACACACACACACACACAC